GGGTCCGGGCTGGGGATTCGAACCCGCCACCTTAGGTGTACGTGGCTGGCGCCCTAGCTGGTTGAGCTATAGGTGCCGAGCCAGCAACCTCAAACTCTTGGGCTTAAGTGATTTTCTTGCCTTCATGGAGCTTGAACCCACCAGCCTCCATGTATGTGGCTGGCCCTGTACCCACTGTGCTACGGATGCCACGCTTGTAGCTCAGTGGTTACGGTGTCAGCCACATGTACTGGGGTTCGTGGGTTTGAACCCAGCCCGGGCCTGCTAAACAACCATGACAACAACAACAAAATAGCCAGGCATTGTGGCGGGTGCCTGTAGTCCCAGCTACTAGGGAGGCTGAGGTAAGAGAATCACTTGAGCCCACGAAGTTGAGGTTGCTATGAGCTATGACACCATGGCACTCTACCAAGGGTGACATAGTGAGACTCTGTCTCAAAAAAAATAGAAAAACTGAGGCAAGAGAATTGCTTGAGCCCAAGCATTTGACGTTGCTATGAGCTATGATGCTACGGCACTCTACCAAGGGTGACAAAGTGAGACTCTATTCTAAAATAAATAGTTTTGACCTTGTAGACCCACTTGCAGAAAGGCTCTTGAAGCACTTTCCCTCCCCACCTTGTTCCCTAGACCACTGTGGGAGAGCTATGATCTGTACCCCATAAGTGTGCACAATTATTATGTGTCAATTAAAAATAATAAAAGCAAAAAAATAAGAAATGAGTATACTAGTTAGGAACTTTATAAATGTATTTGAAGTAAAAGTTGGTCTTTAGACCGGGCCTAGAGGCTCATACCTGTAATCCTAGCACTTTGGGAGGCTGAGGCAGGAGGATTACTAAGCCAGGAGCCTGAGCAAGAGCAAAGACTCCATCTCTACAAAAAATAGGAAAAATTAGTCCAGTGTGGTGACAGCCACTTACAGTCTCAGCTCCTTAGGAGGCTAAGGCAGGAGGATCACTTGATCTCAGGAGTCAGAGATTGCAGTGAGCTATGATGACTGTACTATAGCCTGTGTGACAGAGTGAGACACTTGTCTCCAAAAAAAATAAAAAATTATCTCTACTATACTGATCTTTTCAAAGTGTTTGTGAAGGGGATTTGAGAAACAAAGCACTAGCAGATACCAGCAGGGATTGACTGGTTCTCATATTTCTGTAGATCTGGAACAGCAACCATTTGTTTCCTAGTGCAGAGGAAGCTACTCTTTTCCTTGGGACCCTGGATACCATTTTCCTCTTCTCCTATGCTGTGGTAAGTTTTGTTTTATTTTATTTCATTTTTTTGATAATCAGGCCTGGGCTGGGTTTGAACCTGCCACCCCTGGTGCACAAGGCCAATGCTCTAACCATTGAGCTACAGGCAACCTGTGGTAAGTTTTAGAACTCTAGGATTTTTTTTTTTTTTTTTTGAGACAGAGCCTCAAGCTATCTCCCTGGGTAGAGTGCTGTGGCATCACAGTTCATAGCAACCTCCAGCTCCTGGGTTCAAGTGATTCTCCTGCCTCCACTTCCCAAGTAACTGGGTCTACAGGCACCCACCACAATGCCTGGCTATTTTTTTGGTTGCAGCTGTCATTGTTGTTTGGCGGGCCCGGGCTGGATTCGAATCAGCCAGCTCAGGTATATGTGGCTGGCGCCTTGGCCGCTTGAGCCACAGGCGCCAAGCTGAGAATTTCTGGGATTTTTAAGTTGAGGAAAAAGTATAAAAGCTAATGACTCTAAACCTTATGAAGTTTGTCAGAGATTTTGAATTTGCTGACTGAGTTCAGTGGTTTTGAAGCATTTCATGTCCTTCCTATTCATTTGATAAACGTTTATTGAGTATTTGGCAAGTATCATGAGGAATTTATCATGAATGATACAAAAAATTCCTACTTTTATAAAACTTATGTTCACAAAATGCTATAAATAAATATAGACAAGCTCTGTAAGTTGACCTCCCAAGGGACTGTAATAAACTGCCCAGTATACAGAGGCGGTCAGCATAAGGGACTAGGCCTATTGTACTGATAGGTACATGTGATGTATGTCCCATCTGTGACTATCAGGTCACGTTGAGGTGGTTGATGTAGGGAGGTGTTAACTATTAAGGTTCTACTGTATACTGTCTTTGGGGGGGGGGGTGTTTTTGTTTTTGAGACAGCCTCAGGCTGTCCCCCTGGGTTGAGTGCTATGGGATCACAGCTCACAGCAACCTCCAACTCCTGGGCTCAAGCGAGTCTCCTGCCTCAGTAGCTCTCCCAAGTAGCTGGGACCACAGGCGCCCGCCACAGCACCCGGCTACTTTTTGGTTGCAGTTGTCATGGTTGTTTGGCAGGCCCAGGCTGGATACGATCCCACCACCTTAGGTGTATGTGGCTGGTGCCTTAGCCACTTGAGCCACAGGGGCCAAGCCGGTACACTGTATTTTTGATGGTGATAAGGTGGTAAGTGCTACGGAGCTCTACTTTTGTAGAGCAGGGACAGGGGACTAAATAGGCTTGGGTGGGGGTGTAGAGAGCTCTCCCAGATGGCTGGGGAAAATGGCGTAAGGGAGGATGTTTGAGGTAGAGTAAGGTCGGTATGGCTGGAATAGAGTTGCTGGATGCGAGGCTGAGAGGTGATGGGGTTAGGTCAGTAGGGTTCTGGCTCCTTTTGTGGGGCTCTGGCTTTAACCCTGAGTGAGATGGGACTTGCTGGAAGGTTTTTCACAGAGTGACATCTGACTTGGATCTGGACAGGCGTACTTGTCACTCTGAGAGATAAGGCAAGGATGGAGGAGGAATTGGGAGACAAGTTTGGTTCTTGCTGTCTCAAAGGGAAGTGTGGTGGTTGGGTCCAGGCTTACAGTAATGGGATGGGGGAAGGAGATTTTAGCTGTGTTTCGCAGATAAAGCCAATAGTATTTTTTTCCTATTGACAGTGGAATATAAGAGAAGCACATCAAAGAAAACTCTAAGGTGAAAGTGTCGGCTTGGTGCCTGTGGCTCAAGTGGCTAAGGCGCCAGCCACATACACCTAAGGTGGCGGGTTTGAATCCAGTCCAGGCCCCGCAAACAACAATGACGGCTGCAACCAAAAAATAGCCGGGCATTATGGTGGGCACCTGTGGTCCCAGCTACTTGGGAGGCTGAGGCTGGAGACTCGCTTGAGCCCAGGAGTTGGAGGTTGCTGTGAGCTGTGATGCCATGGCACTCTACCCAGGGGGACAGCTTGAGGCTCTGTCTAAAAAAAAAAAAAAAAAGTGAAAGTGTCAGGGCTGAGCAGAAGACTATGAGAAGAGAAAGCCTTGGAGGAATCCCTTTTGGACATGTCGCATTTGAGATGCCTGTTTTGCCTTAGTGATAAAGAGCAGATCCTTCGTCATATGAGCCTAGAGTTGAAGGGAGAGGGGTCCAGGCTGGAGATACAAATTTCACAGTCCTTGGCATGTGGATGGCAAATGAAATTATCAAGACAATAGGTGAGGACAGAGAAGAGGTGTGAGGACTGAGCCCTGGAGCTTCCAGTCTTTCGAGGTGGGGCTGAGAAATGGGTGGGGAGGCTGAGATGAATAGGAAGGAGGCAGAGACGGAGAGGGTGGTGTGCTGGGCAGTACGGACAGGGTGAGGGAAAGGTCAGTGTCTGCAGTAGTGTCAGATTGGGCAGCAAATGTCTCTGTAGGAACATGTATGGTGGCTGCCACATTAGAGTTGAGGGGCTGATGGTGGCAACAGCTGGAACCATGGATAGTGAGGAGTTTCCTTTTCTCCCTAAGCATCTTTTTTTTTTTTTTTAATTTTTTTTCTACCTCTTTTTTTTGAGACAGAGCCTCAAGCTGTCTTCCTGGGTAGAGTGCTATGGCATCATAGCTCACAGCAACCTCCAAATCCTGGGCTCAAGTGATTCTCCTGCCTCCGCCTCCCAAGTAGCTGGGATTACAGGCACCCACCACAGTACCTGGCTGTTTTTTTGGTTGCAGCCGTCATTGTTGTTTGGTGGGCCTGGGCTGGATTCAGACCAGCCAGCTCAGGTGTATGTGGCTGGCACCTTAGCCACTTGAGCCACAGGCACCAAGCCATCTCCCTAAGCGTCTTATGTCCTATATTTAAAGTTTTTTCATTTATAAAAACCTTTTAATTAGATTGTCCAGGCAATGTGAAATACTAGGTGGAGGTCCCCAAGTTATCCCTAAATAAGTGCTTATTTGGGTAATTTTAGGGTATCTTTTCTTCAAAAAGGAACTTACAGAAACAATAGAAATGGGTTTTAGATCATTTATTTAGCCTGGCTTCTTGCCTTGCACACTTTCTGTACATGATTCTGATGTGGAGTCATTGGGCTTTGGCTAGAGCCCTTCTAGTGATGGGTGCTTGTTTCTCTTTGAGCCACTGGGTCCCTTCAGGGGCTATTTTAAGAGGCAGTATAGTTTAGTGGAAAGATCAACTCTGTCGTGGCTAACTAGCTGTGTTAAACTTGGTTTTGAAATGGAATTTAACCTTTTTTTGATGTTTAGTTTCCTCATCTGTAACACCTACCTTAGGATGAAATAGAGGAAAGATAATTGCCAGGAAAAATCAAAATTCTTCCTCTTGAGTGGCATTTCCTTCTGTGACATCCAGGCCTTTTGCGTTTTGGAGCATCACAGAATGAATGCATTCCCTCATCTGAAATAGAATTGGGAGATTTTTTTTTCTTCTTTCTTTGTTATAGGGTAAGACTGTGGAGGGGAGAAGCTAGGGAATATTGGAGCAGTCTATTTTAATGCTTGCTGCTTCTTTTGAGGATGGGGAAGCTTAATGATAACCAGAGAGAAACATTTATAGTGATATCATCTAAATTCCTCTATAGTCAATTTATTAGAAATACTTGGTCCTCATCTAAGTCAAGACATTTAATTCATTTTATATATTTGTGGAAGAAACCTAATGAATGCTGCCCTTTAGGTCTTCAGTTTTCCTTCACGCCATGAGCTCAGTGGGTTTGTGTGTGTGTGTGTGTGTGTGTGTGTGTTTTCAGTTTTTGGCCGGGGCTGAGTTTGAACCCGTCACCTCTGGCATATGGGGCCTGCACCCTACTCCTTTGCGCCACAGGCACTGCCCTTGTTTTTTTTTGAGACGGAGTCTCACTATGTCACCCTCAGTAGAGTGTCGTAGTGTCACAGCTCACAGCAACCTCCAACTTTTGATCTTAAGCTATTCTCTTGCCTCAGCTTCCCAAGTAGCTGGGACTACAGGCAGATCTCAGCGTTTTAATTCCTGTCACTCAGTGGGAGGGGAGCAGAAGGCAGAATGTTTATACTACTCTCCAACTGATTGTTGTCCCTGCCTTCTTCCTCTTCTTGCCTTGGGAAATAGTGAAACCCAAGGGTCAGATTAAATAGGCAGCAGGTGTACCCTAGAAACTTCTGTTCTACTTCTTATAAGGTAGGAGCTGAACCTGTAGGACATGCAGTAACGCATCTTAACTCCTCATGCACATGGCTAAGAGGGATCTCTTTGAGAAATCTTTTTTTGTTTTTTTTTGAGACAGAGCCTCAAGCTATCACCCTGGGTAGAGTGCTGTGGCATCATAGCTCACAGCAACCTCAAACTCCTGGGCTCAAGCGATTCTCCTGCCTCCAACTCCCAAGTAGCTGGTACTACAGGTGCCTGCTAAAACACCCAGCCATTTTTTGGTTGCAGCCATCATTGTTGTTTGGCAGGCCCTGGGCTGGATTCAAACTGCCAGCTCAGGTGTATGTGGCTGGTGCCTTAGCCGCTTGAGCCACAGGCGCCTAGCCAGTCTTTGAGAAATCTTTTTTTTTGAGACAGAGCCTCAAGCTCTCCCCCTAGGTAGAGTACTGTGGCATCACGGCTCACAGCAAACTCCAACTCCTGGGCTCAAGCGAGTCTCCTGCTTAAGCCTCCCAAGTAGCTGGGACCACAGGCGCCTGCCACAACGCCCGGCCATTTTGTTTGGTTGCAGCCATCATTGTTGTTTTGGTGGGCCCGGGCTGGATTCAAACCCTCCACCTTAGGTATATGTGGCTGGCACCTTAGCCACTTGAGCCACAGGTGCTGAGCCTAAGAAATCTTGTAAGTAAAGTTTAGGAATTAATCTATTCTAGAAAATGAGATGTATTTGTGTGTTTGTTTATTAGAGTTATTTTTTTTGAGACAGAGTTTCACTATGTCACCTTGGTAGAGTGCTATGGCATCACAGCTCACAGCAACCTGCAAATCTTGGGCTTAAGTGATTCTTTTGCCTCAGCCTCCCAAATAGCTGGGATTACAGGTGCCCGCCACAATGCCTGGCCATTTTCTTTGTGTGTGTGTCAGGCCTGGGCTACATTCGAACCCGCCAGCTCCAGCGTATGTGGCTAATGCCCTAGCTGCTGAGCTACATGTGCCAAACCAATTATTAGAGTTATTCTTATGTGATTTTGTTTGTTTTCATTCAGGGAATCAAGTAAAACTAAAGTTTGCTCTGAATTATGGTGTCCTTGCAGTATAGTGCACAGAAGCTCATTGCTGTTTCATGAAGCATTTGTGAAACTCATATAAATAGCTAGTCTAAGCATGTGAATAAGATAGAATTTTAAATAATTTTAATGTTTTGTTTGCCTCATTTGCTTTGCAATGCATGTTACTTTTTTCAGACTGTGTTATTATTTAAAGCTGTAAAAGTTAAACTCTTCATTTTTAGGGCCTTTTCATCAGTGGCATTGTTGGGGATCGGCTGAATCTGCGATGGGTTCTGTCTTTTGGCATGTGTTCTTCTGCATTGGTGGTAAGTTGGAAAGGTGTTACAATTATTATTATTTTGGCCAGGTATTTTAGAATCCAGATAATCCCCCTTCTTCTCTATAAAGGATAGAACAGTAAAATTTTTTCATGTTCTAATCCCTTGTTTGCCTTTTCACTCAGCTGAGCTTTTTAAAATTACAACTCTGGTCAGGTCCTTTCCTTGACTGTCAGGCACCAGCAAAGTCTAATATTAACATATAGTCTGAATAAATAGCATGGCATCTAGCACTCTCTGGAACCTGGGCCCAGCTAGTCTTTACAATCACATTTGTCTCTCTGCTTCCCAAACAAGATGACTTTCTGTGCCCCTAACGTGCTGCTCTCTCCTACCTCAGTGCTTTGTTCCTGCTGGTTTCCTGTCCCGCCTCACTATATCCTTCACATCATTGACCAAGCAACACCTCTCTCAGAATGCCTGACCTTGGTGACCCCTCTTCTGAGCTATTATGCCTGTGTTTTTCTTTGTAGGCATTTTTTTCTTTTCTTTTTTGAGACAGAGCCTCAAGCTGTCACCCTGGATAGAGTGCTGTGGCATCACAGCTCACAGCAACCTCCAGCTCTTGGGCTTAGGTGATTCTCTTGCCTCAGCCTCCCAAGTAGCTGGGACTATAGGTGCCCACCACAACACCCGGCTATTTTTTGTTGCCGTTTGGCCACGGTGGGGTTTGAACCTACCACCCTTGGTTTATGGGGCCGGTGCCCTACCCACTGAGTCACAGGTGCCTCCCACTTTGCAGACATTTGAAATTGCCACTCAGCCTAGTTATTTCTGTCTCAGTCTTGCTTTCCCAGGAGTGGGTAGCATGGTGGTTAAGATCGCAGATTCCCTAGACTGGAATAGCCTGTGTTTCTTTTCCTCTTCTGTAGTTTTCTAGCTTATGACTTCCCTGTACTTCAGCTTCTTCATTTGGAAAAGACGATATGCATGTTACCTTCTCATAGGGTTGTAGTGAGAATTATATGAGTTTCTATATATGAGGTATTTGGAACAATGCCTGGCATGTTAAGTGCTGTGTAGGGCAAGGTCCATATCTCCTTTATCTTTATTTACTTATAGGCTCCTAGTAAGGAATTTTTGTTGATTGAATGAGACTGTGGGGTTTAGTTAGATCTTCATTTATTACTTTTTCAGTGTGTACCATTTAAATACAGGAAAACCCTGTTTATCCTTTAAATTTTAGAGATTGGAGTGCTTTATAAGCTGCCCAGCCAAGCACATATATACATACTATTTTTTAACCGTATATATACATTTCCTTGTTTTTAATTTAAAAAAAAATGGCAGTATGGGCCAGGGACAGTAGCTAACACCTGTAGTCCCAGCACTCTGGGAGGTGGAGGTGGGAGGAACAGTTAGGTCAGGAGTTTGATGCTAGACTAAGCAAGAGTGAGACCCCCATCTCTACTAAACATAGAAAAATTAGCTGGGTGTTGTGGCAGGCACTTGTAGTCCCAGCTACTTGGGAGGCTGAGGCAGGAAGGTCACTTGAAGCCAGGGGTTTTAGGTTGCTGTGAGCTAGGTAATGCCATGGCATTCTAGCCTAGGCAACAGAAGGAAGCTCTGTCTCAAAAAACAGAAAACAAAAAACAAAAAATTGAAGTGTGTTGGTTCGGCGCTCATAGCTCAGTGGTTTGGGGGCCAGCCACATATACTGAGACAGGCTGGTTTGAACCTGGCCCCAGCCTACTAGACAATGACAACTACAACAAAAAAATAACCAGGTGTTGTGGGGGGGGGGCGCCTGTTATTCCAGCTACTTGGGAAGCTGAGGCAAGAGAATTGCTTAAGCCCAAGAGTTTGAGGTTGCTGTGAGCTGTGACACCATAGCACTCTACTGAGGGTGATAGTGTGAGAGTCTATTTAAAAAAAAAAAAAAAAAAGAAATTGAAGCGTGTATATAAACTCACCCTCTTTACTATATAATTCTGAGTTTCAAATCAGTGAGTATGGTTGTTTAGCTACCTCCCCTTTGGCCCAGCCTCTGGCAGCCATTGCCATTTTTCTGTCCTTAGAGTTTTGTTTATTTCAGAATATCTTATAACTAGAATCAGACAATATTATATATACTGTTTTTTAATCATGCAGAGTTTTCCCAGAATAGACTTTAGCTGCAAATAAAATGTCCACTTGAACAAAGTACCTGGAAAAAAGCAGCCACTTGATGAAAGCTACTAAATGATTTAGCAGATCCCAAGTTAGATAGATTGTACTTACACTAATTAACTTAGTAGCTGCAGTCATAACAGTGGCTAGCACTTACCTGGTGCCTTTACCCAGCACAGTGCCTGGTGCTGTTTGGAGGGAGTTTGCCCACAAGGGCTCATCCGTCCTCACAGTAGCCCTTTGGAGCTTGCCACTTCCCTCCACATCCATAGTCTGAGCGAGAGGAAGTGGAATTAGATATACAATGGGGCAAAAAATGGAGAATTAACTTTTTAGCATCAAAGATACAAATCGGAGGGCTGATAACTTAATGACAGTGTTATTCAACATTCTCGTCTCTCTGGGTCAGTGATGATCAGTCTTTGCCTCCTCAGTGCCGGCTGAGCAAGAAGGAGCATTGTAACAGTCAGTCACATGTCTCTTAGGCACTTGCTGTTTGAATATATAGTCTTCAGATAGTCCTTTTACTCAGAAACATAAGTGTAGCGGGCAGTTGAGTCTACTAAAAGTGTCTGTGGATGTCACATGTCCCTTTTTATTTCTTCCTTCTCTAAGGTATTTGTCTTTGGCACCCTCACAGAATGGCTGCATTTCTACAACAAATGGCTGTACTGCTGTCTGTGGATTGTGAACGGCCTGCTACAGTCCACTGGTTGGCCCTGTGTGGTTGCTGTGATGGGCAACTGGTTTGGGAAAGCTGGGTATGCCACTGCCTTCCTTTGATTTCTTTTTTTAAGTGGTTTAATAGACTTGGATTACTCAGATTTGTCGAAGTGAATTAACCTGATCCCATAGACCCTACCCACATACTCTTTGTATTTTAAAGAGTAATAATAGTTCTGGAGTGGGAAGGTTCACAGAGCTGCGTAGAGACTACAATGGACGATGAGCTTAAAAAGGACGTTCAACCCCCAAACCAGCAGCCAATGATATGTATCTGTGGAGAATGTCACACAGAAAATGAAATAAAATCCAGGGATCCAATCAGATGCAGAGAATGTGGATACAGAATAACGTACTAGAAAAGTACTAAAAGATTGGTGATTTTTTTTTTTGAGACAGAGTCTCACTCTGTTTCCCTCAGTAGAGTGCTGTGGTGTCACAGCTCACAGCAACCTCCAACTCTTGGGCTTACGTGATTTTCTCTGCTCAGTTTCCCAAGTATTTGGGACTACAAGCGCCCACCACAATGCCTGGCTATTTTTTGTTGTAGTTGCCACTATTGTTTTAGCTGGCCAGGGCTGGGTTTGAACCTGACACCCTCAGTGTATGGGGCCGGTGCCCTACCCACTGAGGCACAGGCACTGCCCAAAGATTGGTGTTTGGCTTTTTTTTTTTTTAGAGACAGAGTATTACTTTGTCACCCTTGGTAGAGTGCCATGGTGTCACAACTCACAGCAACCTCTAGCTCTTGGGCTTATGTGATTCTCTTGCCTTAGCCTCCCGAGTAACTGGGACTACAGGTGCTTGCCACAATGCCTGGCTATTTTTTGTTGCAGTTTGGTTGGGGCTGGGTTCGAACCCACCACCGTCGGTATATGGGGCCGGTGCCCCACCCACTGAGCCACAAGAGCCACCCAGATTAGTGGTTTTTGATGCCAGATGAAACGTGATTCAAACGTGAATTCAGAAGATTGTCTTCATTTATATTTGGATTTGCCCCATTAGTATTTCTCATTGTTGTGTATATATATTTCTGTTTAGCATAAGTAATACTCCCCACTTATCCTCAGGGGTTATTTTATTTTCCAAAACCCTCAGTGGATGTCTGAAACCTCAGATAGTACCAAACCCTATATACATTATGTTTTCCTGTGTGTACATATCTGTGATAAAATTTAATTTATAAATTGGGCACAGTAAGAGATTAACAACAATAATAAAACAGAACAATTATAACAACAACAAAAAGAAAGTAATAGTAGTTCTCGAAGAGATTTCACGTAAGCGTGTGTTGGAAATGGTGTGGGCCTTGGGGTGATCTAGCCCAGACGAGGATCATATTCAGATTCTGAGTGTGGACTAAGGCCAGAGGTCTCAAAGTTTTTTTTAAATGCATTGTCCCTTTATTTATTTATTTATTTTGAGACAGAGCCTCATGCTGTCACCCTAGGTAGAGTGCTGTGGTATCATAGCTCACAGCAACTTCCAACTCCTGGGCTCAAGTGATTCTTTTGCCTCAGCCTCCCAAGTAGCTGGGACTGCAGGCGTCCGCCACAACGCCTGGCTATTTTTTGGTTGCAGCCATTATTGTTGTTTGGCGGGCCCAGGCTGGATTTGAACCCACCAGCTTAGGTGTATGCGGCTGGCGCGGTAGCCGCTTGAGCCACAGGCGCCGAGCCTCATTGTCCCTTTAGAGAACCTTAAAATCTCATGTACCATCCATGCATCATGTGTCTTCCTTTGGGTTTACCTTCCTATTTATTTAATATATTTTATTTTATTTGTTTCTTTTTTTTTTTTTTTTTTTTTTTTGAGACAGAGCCTCAAGCTGTCCCCTGGGCAGAGTGCCGTGGCATTACAGCTCACAGCAACCTCCAACTCCTGGGCTCAAGCGAGTCTCCTGCCTCAGCCTCCCAAGTAGCTGGGACCACAGGCGCCCGCCACAACGCCCGGCTATTTTTTGGTTGCAGCCATTATTGTTGTTTGGCGGGCCCAGGCTGGATTTGAACCCACCAGCTTAGGTGTATGCGGCTGGCGCGGTAGCCGCTTGAGCCACAGGCGCCGAGCCTCATTGTCCCTTTAGAGAACCTTAAAATCTCATGTACCATCCATGCATCATGTGTCTTCCTTTGGGTTTACCTTCCTATTTATTTAATATATTTTATTTTATTTGTTTCTTTTTTTTTTTTTTTTTTTTTTTTTTAAACCTTAGTTATGGGCTCAGCGCCTGTGGCTCAAGCAGCTAAGGCACCAACCACATATACTTGAGCTGGCGGGTTCGAATCCAGTCCAGGCCCACCAAACAACAGTGACGGCTGCAACCAAAAATTAGCCAGGCATTGTGGCGGGGACCTGCAGTCCTAGCTACTTGGGAGGCAGAGGCAGGAGAATCGCTTGAGCCCAGGAGTTGGAGGTTGCTGTGAGCTGTGATGCCACAGCACTCCACCCAGGGTGACAGCTTGAGGCTCTGTCTCAAAAAAAAAACCAAAAAAAACCCCTTAGTCATGGGTGGCATCCGTAGCCCAGTGGTTATGGTGCCAGCCACGTACCTTGAGGGTGGCAGGTTAGAACCCGGCCAGGCTAGCTAAAACAACAATGACAACTGCAATAAAAAAATAGCCGGCATTGTGGTGGGCGCCTATAGTCCCAGCTACTTAGGAGGTTGAGGAAAGAGAATCACTTAAACCTAAGAGATAGAGGTTGCTGTGAGTTGTGATACCACAGCATTCTACCCAGGGGGACATAGTGAGACTCTGTCTCAAATTAAAAAAAAAAAACAAACCCTCAGTTACACTGGGGTTAAGTGTTGTGATGTTATAGCTCATAGCAACGTCAAAGTCTTGGACTTTAATAATCCTCTTGCCCCATCCTCCTAAGTAGCTGGGACTACAGGTGCCCCCTACAATGCCCTGCTAATTTTTTTATTTTCTCAGGCTGGTCTTGAACTCCTGAGCTCAAGCAATCCACCTGCCTGGGCCTCCCAGAGTTCTAGGATTACAGGTGTGAGCCACAATGCCTGTCTTAATTTATTTAGTTTTGAGACAGGATCTCATTCTACTGCCCAACTAGTGTAGTGGTGTTATCATAGCTGACTGCATCCTCAAAATCCTGGGCAAAGGCTTGGTGCCTGTGGCTCAAGTGGCTAAGGCGCCAGCCACATACATCTAAGGTGGCCGGTTCGAATCCAGCCTGAACTTGCCAAACAACAATGATGGCTGCAACCAAAAAAAATAGCCAGGCATTGTGGCAGGCACCTGTGGTCCCAGCTATTTGGGAGGGAGAGGCAGGAGACTCGCTTGAGCCCAGGAGTTGGAGGTTGCTGTGAGCTGTGATGCCATGGCACTCTACCCAGGGGGACAGCTTGAGGCTCT